GAACTCATAAAACTCAATAACAACATAAACAACCCAATTCAAAAATGCATAAAGGACTTGAACAGGCATTTCTCCAAAGAAGATATACAAATGGCCAATAAACACATAGATGTGCAACATCACTAATCATTAGAGAAATGCAAATCAATGAGATACCACCTCACACCCATTAGGATGGCTACTGTTAAACAAAAACCAAAAAACCCACAGACACATAAAAACACACACACACACACAAAACCACAAAAAACTCCAAAACCAGAAGACAGGTGTTGATGCTGATGTGGAGAAATTGAAGCTTTGTACACTGTTGCTGGTAATGTAAAATGGTATAGCCATTGTAGAAAGCAGTATGGCAGTTCCTCAAAAAAATTATATGATCCAGCAGTTCCTCTTTTGGGTATACTGTACCCAAAAGACTTGAAAGCAAAGAGTTGAAGAGATATTTGTACTCCTATTTTCATAGCAGCATTATTCACAATAGCTAAAACATGGAAGTAAACCAAGTGTCCATCAGTAGATGAAAGAATAAGCAAAATGTGGTATACGCATACCATGGAATATTCAGCCATAAGAAGGAAGGGGATTCTGCAATATGGATCAACTTTGAGGACATTTTGCTAGTGTAATAAGCCAGTCACAAGAAGACAGATATTATGTGATTTCATTTGTATGAGGTACTTAAACAAAATAAAAGAAAGAGTATGGTGGTGGTTGCAAGAGGCTGTGGGGAGGGGAGAATAAGGAGCTATTGTTTAATGGGTGTAGAGTTTCAGTTTTACAAGATGAAAAAAGTTATGGGGATGGATGGTGGTAATGATTGCATAACAATGTGAATGTATTTAATACCAGTGAACTATACATTTAAAAACGGTTAAGATGGTAAATTTTATGTTATGTGTATTTTCTCTCTCGTTTCTATATGGCTTGGCATAGCACTGATGTCAGCGTAGTTAACATCACAGTTTTTGAGACCATTATGTATACTGAGCCAGGAAGTATACTGTGATTTTCTTTCCTATACTTCATTTTACTTTTCTGGGTAAAAATATATTTTTACTGATTTGTTTAGTCTAATGTGCGTCTAATGCTGTTTTTTTAAATGTTGTGATGTGTTGTCTAATGTTTGGAAGTATTTTTTCTAAATGTTCACACACATCAAAAAAAAAAAATTGTTGGAGGGCCTGGAGATCTTCTCTCCGATCTGCTGTAATTTAAACTAGTTACTGTCTAAGCCTAATGCATAATTTGTTGTATCAGGATTTTACTTTGCCACTTTCTTGTGTTGGATATCCTGTTTCCTGAACTGTGAGTTCCTCTTTTCTTGTTTTACTCCTTATTTTGATGAAACATGTCCTCTAACAACTTCCACAGAAAGGTTGATTCTTTTTTCACTTAGTGTAAATTTAAAACTGTATTTACTCTAATGATAGTTTGGATGAAGTACATAGAAAACATTTTTCCTATGCATATTTGAAAGTATTGTTTTCGTTAAGTCTGATGCCATTTTTGGTCCACTTTCTTTGTGTTTATGTTATTTTATTCTTTCTGGCAACTTTAATGGTTATCTCTATCTCAGGTGTTTTGAAATTTCATATGTTCACCCATCATCCTTTTTTCATTCATTATGGTAGGAATTTGATAAGCCTTTGTAATTTTGGATATTTCTGTTTGGGGGAAATTTTCTTGTTTTATTTCTTTGGTAAATTTTCACTTTTATTTTCTCTGTTCTCTCTTTTTTTTGAAACTCCTATTGATCTGACACTACTTCCTGCATCACCTCTTTTGATTGTATGGCATTTTCTTTCTTGCCTTCCATCTTTTTGTCCTTTCATTCAACCTTTCAAAAAAGATTTTCTAAATTTAATTGCTTACTTTAGATTGCCATATATTTAGTTTTGAATTGTTCTTTTTATTCTTCAGTTGTTTTGTCTTCATAGTTTTTTGTTCTTGTTTAATGGACATAACATTTCATACCTCTCCAGGGATATTAAATATATTATACATATTTATTTTGTTCCCAGCAAAGTCTCTGATGTCTCCTAGCCTCTTTATTCTCTTGTTTATTTTGATCTGTCTGACGTAAAGGATGTCTTCAGTTGTGTGGTGATCCTTGGCTGTCCATAAAAGTGAAGTGCTAAAAAGTTTATTGAAAACCCTGTGTTTGGACAGGGACAGGGCTGCCTTGCATAGCCGTACAGGTTGTGCACTGCAGCACTCCACAGGGTACAACCCTGTTATATATACCCCTTAGTACTCTCAAAATGTATTGATATTTACAGTACTAGAAATTAAAAGTATGAAATTTTTAAAATACTGTTACTTAAAATGGCAAATATTTTTCTGAAAAATAACTATTTGTCAAAACAAAAGAAATTTAGTTAGAAGAATGAAATTGTTTTGCGCTTTTGCATATCTCTTTAATGTCTAGTTAAATAGAAGGAAACTGGATCCTCATGTTTCTACATTCAATCTGTTGTGAAATGTTATTTTGGTTGAAATATAAGAAAAATACCCAGCCTCATCTAGTACTTTAATCTCTTCAGATAATTGTGATTATTCTTTTTTATGACATCAAAAGTAGACAAGTGGACTTTTTCTTAAAAGGTTTGTTGCAATGTGGAATCTGACTCCATATCACTGAACTTTTTGTACTCTATTACATTAAAATCTATTGGTCTGGCTTACACTTTGATTGGCTCTTTTATCCATGCATGATTTTATAACAATGTGCATTTAGTCATTTGGAATATATTGGTTCACAAGTTACATAGATCTTCTAAGTGTTGACATGTTTCATTATGTAATATCAGGTAATCACATTCATTAATATTAGCATTAATCTCATGAATAGTGGATACAAGTTATCCTAAAATTTAATTTTTCCTTGAATTTTATTACTGGCAACAAATACTGTCGGTTGTTTTCTTTGATGTGACATGCTCACTTTGTCAGTTTCGAAGAAAATGTCTTCTAAATACTCAAGTCTAAATATTCATAGTTTGACAGTCATTCTTTAAAATAAAAATCATGTTCCATGAAAAAAATGTGGCCAAGTTCAGCTTGCAACTCAGTCACAGACCCAAGTGTTTTTAGTGCGCAATAGCAGTGCTTTATGCATATTTGGTATTTCATTACACAGAATATTAAAAAGACATGCACTCAGTGATTGATATTTAATAAAATTAATTTTACTGCTGATGTATGCCAGTGGAGAATACAGTGACTACTAGTACAGTTTTGATTCTATGTCAGTGCCTTGATTTGAATTAAGATGCCAGCATTTTTACTCACCACGGCTGTAGTACCAAGAATTTTAACCTCACATGCCTCCTGAAAGTGTCTTGGAGGCCCCATGTGTCTGTGAACCACACTTGGAGAACTGCTGACATGGATTATATTGTGAAGGTTGCCTCATGGATTAGTGTGCTGTACAGCCTGCACAGTCTGCATGGCAATTGTTTAGACTTCAACATAGGAAAATCAGTTGCTGAGCTGACTGATTCTTTGGTAGGGAGGATGCTTTCAAAGTCTTTGAGGCTGATAATTTTCTCCAAAGAGGAATCTTCTAGATTCCAGCTGTGGGTGGTGGGGTGAAGAGTGGTTCCTCTGGCTGCTAGCATTCTGGGAGCCAGGCAGAGAGATAAATGTGGGTCCCTTTTTTCAGTTTATGGACCTCTACTAAATTTTTCTGTTTTCTTTCAGTACCTCATGCCTGCCCTTTGCCATTCCTGATGTTCACAAGTCTAGACTGTCTCCAGTTCAGAGTTAACCTTTGGCCTAAGTGGTAGAGGAAAGGATAGGTATCTGTTGCATGAGTTGGGGAAAGAGCATTTAGATTTCTCAGCAGTATTCATGCTTCATTTTTACCTTTTGGGTACTGGATAGTGTACTGAATTTCCCCAAATACCAGATCTCTTATGTTCTCTGGGAAAACTGATTCTCTTTTCCTTGCATTCCCTGCTCAGACATTTAGTTGTAACTTCCTCCACACTGTGAAGTCAATTTCCATTCCTCCAGCCACTATCCATCTAAAACTTTGCTGAAATCTCTTTGACAGTTAGTATGCTTTGATGTTTTCTTGGTCTTTATGAGTGAAAATATTTTATTTCTTTGCCCTCATTTTAGCAGGGCTTTTGGAGAGTGAGGAAATATTACATGTATGTGATTAATACACCATATCACTTTCACAGATTTGAATCAATCACTATTGTGGCTGAACTGGACCTAGATTTGAAACTTCACCACTTACTGTAGTATTGCCTTTGGTTTTCTACTTAACCCCCGCAGTCTTTATTCTCATTTGTAGAAATGGAGTTTATAATATCTAATATGAGGATTAAGTGATGAGATAGTGAACGTAAAGTTCTTAACGTACTACCTCATGCATCATATATGCTCAGTAATTTGTTATAAACTGTTAGGCTGCCCTCTGGCTTACTGAGGTTTTAGTGTATTCTTTCCTCACCAAAAAACATTTGAAATAAGCAAAAATATTTCATTTATCTATTGTTTAATATTACTTGGTTTGACAATGGAAGGGTTACCATGGCTTCAAATATAAAATCATAATTTCATAAATGTTTTATCTAAGTACCTGTATTTAATATGTGTGTATAAAATACTGTGGATGACACATTCAAATTCAAGCTGTGTTTTACTAGTTTTCTATTCAAGTAATTATAATTATGGCCCATATTTGAAAGAATCTAAGGAAAGCAGGTATTGTTATAACTGGATAACTGTTTCGTGTCCTTGATTCAGAAGGTTTTGGTACACTGAAATTCTTACAAGTTTTTTAAAAAGCAATTTTTGTAATCATGCTTTTAGTTATGAGAATTATTTTAATACATACTTTAAATTAAGAATTTTTTTCTCTTTCTTTAGTATACTAGGTAGCACATGTAAGTTCTTTTTATCTAGAAAGTTTAGTATAATAAAAGTAGTTTACTTTAAGCTTAGTTTTGAATATAAAAGAAAATTATTATTAATCATTTCAGGAAATTGCAAGACCTAATATGGCTGAAGGAGAAACTGAAACATCAAATTCTGAAAGGTAAATATAAGGAAAAACTGAATCTCATGAAATTCAAGTATATACAATGATACTTGAGCTGTGTTATATTTCAGTTAATTGGCAAAAGGCTATTTAAATTTTGTATATGGTGCTCCTTTTAGTAATGGCTTTTAATTAAAATAAAATTTTGAAATATTAATATAACAGAAATATACTGCAGATCCTTAGTTTTGAAATCTTAAACATGTAGAATACATTTTATAAGTTGTTAAATTTTTTAAAAGTACTTACAAGTAAGTAAAATGTTAACAGATTTTAATTGCCTCTATTAAATGAAAATAGTTACAAGATGCTACAGGTTATAAGGTGGTGACGATTCTTGCAAATAGTTAATTTTAATATCTTATTTTTTAAGTATTTTCAAAAAGCTGTAAAGCTACTTCTTTGGTGGGATCTCAACATAAAAGGTTCAGATTCAAGTATTGGTTTTTAAAAATTTAATGCTTGAGTAGAACACTGCAGAACACGAGATTTCACAATTATTTTTTTAGCAAAAGAAAATCCAACATTCTAATTAGAACTTTATTCCAGCTAAAGGTGATTTTGTCTTTTAGATTAAGTACTTTCCCCATTTCTATCTTTATGCTGTGTGTTTTATAGTAGGCTGCTTGTTAACCTGATGAGATTAATTAATCTATTGCCTCTAAAAAGAAAATTATGGAATAAGACCTTTTGAAGATGTTTCTTAGACTTCACTAGAAAAATTATCTAGCCCTGGGACTTCCTTGATGGCCCAGTGGTTGAGACTTCACCTTCCAACACAGGGTGGGGGTGTGTGGGTTCAATCCCTGGTGGGGGAGCTAGGATCCTACAAGCCTCACTGCCAAGAAAACAAAACATAGAACAGAAGCAATGTTGTAACAAACTCAATAAAGACTTTAAAAATAGTCCGCATAAAAAAAGAAAAGAAAAGAAAAATTATCTAGCCCTTCCTTCACCTAGCATTTTTCCTAGAATTCTGGTTGGGAAAAGTTAACAAAAATTCAAATAAGGATTTAGAAAAAGGAGACTAGTCACATCCATATTTTTTAACATTTTCTGTAAATTATAGTTAGTTCAATAAGATCTGAACAAAAATAAGAATTTTACAAATTTAAATGACTCTTACGAATTAATAAGCTCACTTACATTTTAACTAAAAATAAGCAAGGGTATGAACAGATAAAAATAATGATAACCAGAATGAAAACCAGTGAATAGACTCCTCAGGACTCCTTTTAATATGCGACTACAGAGTTTCTCACTCTGTTGCCCAAGAACATGGCCACCTCCTAAATTGTAACATCATGGCAAAGACCGGGGACCTCTTTTTTTTTTTTTTTTTTTTTGGTGGGCAAGTGTGCCTTTTTAAAAAATTTTTTAGAGAATGTCTTTATTTTGTTAGTGTTCAAATACATTGTATTATGAAGAAATAGATAATAAATAGCTTTATTTTTTCAGTAAACAAGATGAAGCTTCTTCAGAGGAAATAAAAAATGGATGTGATGTGCATTTATTCGAAGGCTCATCAACAACAAAAAGTGAAGAAGGGGTATCAGGTTCAGATAAAGAAAATGATACCTGTCTTGAAGACCAGGAAACTGGCTCAAAGAATATCTTCAGTTATGATTCAATTATTGATGCAGATAAGGTGGAAAAGGAAAAACAAATAGAGCACATTTGTCAGGAAACAGAGTTGAAGAGGTGCCAAAGTTCAGAAAACCTCATTGCACGTGATCAGATTGAAGATTGCAATGCCAGTGAAGCTAGATTTTCTTCAAAGAATATTAAGGATTTGCAGTTAACATCTGGTGATGTTAGCATTGATCAGTTTTTGAGAAAAAGAGATGAACCTGAATCTGTTAGTTCTGATGTTAGTGAGCAAGGCAGTATTCATTTGGAACCTTTGACTCCCTCAGAAGTGCTTGAGTTTGAAGCCACAGAGATTCTTCAGAAAGGTAGTGGTGATCCTTCAGCCAAGACTGATGAAGTAGTGTCTGATCAAACAGATGACGTTCCTGGAGAAAATAGCCTTAGCACAACAGAGACAACAGGAGACCTGGCAGATGAAAAAGAAAGAAGTTGAAATTAATTAGGCATTCTAAGTTTTAGTGTACCAACGATAAGAGCATTTGGAACAGTGCTATCAGGTGAGCTCAGTGGTGCTGTTGCAGAGTGCAGAGATAGAAAAATGTGAGGGAGGTCATTCATACACTTTACCTGTATATTCAACCTAGGTTATTAAATCAATTCATCATTAATAGCATGATTAGTATGAATTTCCAAGAAGTTTTTAAGACATGAATAAGATTTTAATGAAAGTGAAGTTTGCAATGAAAAAGTCTCATTTAGCAGTTTTCGAGGTTATGGAACCTGGTGGTCAATATGAATTGAATATTAGAATATTAGTTATATTAATAAAGCTTTTGAAATTTCCATCAGTTCTAAACTAAAAGTCCTTATTACCTGTACATTCTTTTCAATTAACGTAAAGGAAGAGATTTGGAAACCACATACCTTTTGGGAATAATTGATTTAAAATAATGGCCAATTGGCTTTGTTAATGAAGGCTTCATTTTGAGTATGATACTGGTAAATGGAGCACGTTTAGAATGCTAAGTTAGTTGATCTAATGAGAATTTGGATGAACGTAAACTTAATTTTGGATATAATATTACATTCCAGACTGCCAGAAGCATGTAAACAGAATATTTGAATCTGTGTACCTCCATACAAGTGTTAGCCTGCCAGGCTGTAAGCTTACCTTAATTAAACTTTCAGTGAAAGTGAAATTATTGAAATAAAAATTTATATTTGTGCTTTTTGTCAGTGTGTAAGCTGTGCAGAAATCCCTTGATGTACTAGTTGTATAAAGTAGAAACCCACTGTTGAAACTCCTGTAGCTATTATGCTCTTAGTATTGTTTTAATGATCTTCTTTAGAAATAGACCCATAAAAATGGTCTGGAAACCAAACCAAAGTATGGATTAATGTAGATATTGTAAAGCAGTAAACTGAAAACATGTCCTGGCATGAATTCAGCCATGTTTAAGTGACTTTTTCTGTAATTGTAAAATAGAAAATTCAAATGGGACCGAAAGCAGGATGTAAAAAATTGGTTTGGGATATTTAGCCTAATTTATCCATAAGATGGCTGCTAAATTGATTTTTTCAGTTTTTTATCATATAGAAAATAATAGATATAGAAATGAATAAATATGAGTAACAGTAGTTTGCTTTGACATACTAACAAACTTTTATTTAAAATGCTACATTTTTACTTCTTAAAATGTGCTTTGAATTCTTAAAATTTTGTTTCACTGAATGTTAAATGTTTAAAATGGCTATTAAAATTCTGCTGTATATAGTAGTTTTTGAGTAAATATTTGCAATAAAAATCTGTCCCTGAATAATTTTATTTTTCAGAAAGCTGCTTGAGTCGGATTACCTTTGGCGCCTCTAGAAATTGTATATTGCTCAAGGAAATTTCATGTTAAAGTTAGTGGTAGATTTTATTCCGTATTCTTTAATTGATGCATGATTTATTTTAAATTGAGACTTAAAGTACAGGGGGAAGAACTGCTAATAATTACAGAGAATTGATTTGCTTTACAAATTCTTCTACTTCAAGAGAATTATAATTTAATATTATAGTTTTCTATCTGCTCAGTAAATTAAAGAGGCTAAATAGGCAAAATATTTTGTTGACTTATTTTCTTGAATATTTTTGAGGGTGGGGGCAAATATTTTTATCTTTCCTGCTCCCAAGAAAAGATGGGCTAGAGGGACTTATTAACTGTCATTCTTCACCTTGTTGAAACATTAATCTATAGCAGAGAAGACTTTTGGAGTAAGGGGAAGAAAAAGTCTGTGTAAGGACCATTTTCTGAATCTCATTCAATTAGTTGCCAAGGCTGTCACCTAATGCTTCAAAAACCTAGAGCACTGTACCAAAATAAGTCTCTAAGTGACATTGTAGTCCCTTGTGAGCTTTGAGTAGTTCCCTCTCCTGCCCCTATATACTTACAGTAGTGGTATTGAAAGTACCTGATCAATGAATAGTTTATACCTATCCACTGTGAGAAAAGGAACCTGTACCAGACTATAAATCCTTCATTGAGAAAGTCTAGCAATGAAAACAAAAAAATAGTTGAAGAAAACATTGTACTTGGTAACATAGTTGGTTTCTGTTTTCACATAATCTCCTTATCTCATTTCTGATCAGGAACAGACAATTCAGGTATGCAAACCAAACCTTTGAGTAGCAGTGCTTTAGCACAGTGGTCAGCAAACTTTTTCTCTGTAGAGCCAGATAGTGAATAATTGTGGACTGTGTGGTCACAATTATCCAACTCTTCCTTATAGCTTAAGAGCACCTATAGACAATATGTAAATGGTGGCCTGTTTGTGTTCCAATAAAACTTTATTTACAAAAACAAAATGTTGGTTGGATTTGGCCAGTGGACTGTAGATTGCCACCACCTGCTTTAGAGTGCTGTTTTGTCCAGGCAAATTGTGCTCAGGGACTGAGATTTTCTTTGCCAATAACTTATTTAACACCAGTTCACTGTGAGAATTATAATCTATAAAAATAACATTTTGTAAGCCAATACCATACAGGATAATGTCTGTTAATTAGCTAATAAAGAAATAACCTACTGCAAACTAATAATAGATTGATTACACTATTGTTCTAGGCAAAGAGGAGATGAAAGAAAGTCCAAATTTAGTTGAGGCGTACCTTTCCAGGAATTGGTTGTCTGTAGAGTCAGTCCTTCCAACTAAAAGCTGGGTTTCAGCTGCCAGCGTAGGTCCCTTGCTGCTGGGGCACATAGCTAGGGGGTGACAGTACTGGTGTCGGTAAGCAAGCTGGGCTGTTCCAAATGTTATGACTCCAGGGACCATTACATGACTTACACCATTGCCTACCAGGAGTAGCCTTGCCAAGGCAGGAACAGATGTCCCTTCTCTTCCTGAGACTGCTGCACAGTTTAACACTGCTGAGGACCAAGAGTGGCCTGGCCATGGCAGGAGCAAGTGTCTCAAGATCGTCACAGAGCTATGTAAGTCAGCAAAAGAGTAGCCTTGCCCAGACTAAACACTCTCGGTAAGTCCTCACAAATTCTTGGTATTTAAAGTTTAAATGTCCATCACTTGATAGCTGCTCTTCCATATGTTCGTATTGATTATCCTCCCCAGCGGCACCCCTTAATGGCTTAATGCTGCTGAATACTTATCAACAACAGCAGATGTTGATGACATCATCCTGGCACAGCTTCCTTAGTGTAAACAAATTTACCTGTAGATCAAAACAACTTCACTTAAGTCATAAACAAGTGGATTTGAAATCATAACAAACCAATACACAACAAGCACTTAGACTTTCTTGATTGACTATGAAAGCCGGTGATGCACTCAAGTGACTCTTTGCCTAAGAACTAACTACCAAGGTGCCTTACTATATTATAGTCTCCTGTTACCTAACAACAGAATTATGATTGATTACATGTGCAGTTCAATGACGTTAAGAAACATTCATTTTGTGGATGCACTTTTAATTTACGTTGAAAATCTGAATGCCATATTTATTTATGTTATTTCTTCCCCTTTGTATCTCTCCAATGTTTTAGGGAGGAAATTGTAATTTTTTTCACCCTATAAATTTTTAAAGAACTATTCTAAACATTTTTTGAAAGGAAGTGACAAGATATGAGTCACCTTGTTTCAGCTGTAAGTAAAAAGATATCTGGGCAATTACTTGCCTAAGGTTACAAAGCTAAGATTTGAACATAATTTGATCTGATTCTGAAGTTAGTGTTTTCTACCACATCTATAGTTCCTAGCATTTATACTGAATGTCCCTTTTTAAAATATATCAGTTTTTGCAAATAACCCTTCCATTGATGGTACTAATTACAGTTTTATTTATTATTCCTGCAGTGATTATATGCATATGGAATGGAGGACCTCTTAACCTAAAGAAGAGGACCTACTGATCTCTTTTACTAATAGGAATTGAGGAATTTTACCTCAAGAGGAGGGGTTAGTGAATATTCTATTAACAGGAAAGACAGCATGTGATTTAAAGATACACTTTATATAATAATTATAAATGTTTTGACATCATTATATTTTTTTAGGCTTCTGTAATGTCATTTTTAAATTATGGTTGATATGATCATTTTTGTTCCATCAAACTTGTTACTCCAGGATCACTTGTACTGACTTCAGTGAATTAGGACTTTTGTATGTATATAGGCACTAAAAAGAATTGCAAGTGTTTCATTTTTACTAGATTACTATAACACTGACTTGTTTTTTCAGCTAAAAAATAAAACACAATTTACCTATGTCTAAGCATTAAAAGAGAAATGATTATTTTAAAAATATTGTTTACTAATGAGGCATATCTGCCAATCCATGTACACAAAATGAATAGTCAAATAGATTTTTTTAAAGTCATGGTAATGTTTAATTTTCATCTCAAAATCTATAAACTCCAAGATACTTCACTTGGATCATCTTGTAAGAAATTAAACACATCTGTAGCAGCATCTGTAACATCATCAAGGGATGAGGTGTCCTAGGTGAAATTACTTTTACAGTTAGCTAAAGGTAACTTTTAATTGCTTTTTAAAAGTATTATAAAATCACTTTTGTTATTTAAAAGAATATACTATGCATAATTTAGTCTTCTTTGATGACACAGAGGGTCATCATTATGAAGATTTTTGGGCCAAGCTATAAATGAAGCTGTAGCTGCAGATGTTAATGGCCTGAATAACTGCTGATCACAGAAGTGACCTTGGATTTTGGTTTACAGAAATATTTCAGGTACATCTAGGGTCATTTGACTTTTCCAAAAACAGAACAGAAAAACTGACTACATTACTCACCCAATTCAACCTCTTTTTTAAGATGAATTTTCCTTCCTAAATACTAAGTAAAACCTGCCATTTGTGGAGAATTTGGTAACTATAAACTGTAGTTTTAAGCTTTCAAAATATTTTAAGCATTTATGCACTGCCTTAAAAACTTGATTTTTAACTGCTCTATATCAGGGGCTAGCAAACTATGACCCACAGT